TTACCACACCTCACCTCACCTCACCTCACCTCAGTCTATCAGATCACTGGACTCTGGAACCTTAGCCAAGAAACTGAGAGTTGTCTCCCTTCTATCATAAGACTCATCATCAAAACAGAGTGGACTGTTTGTTTGTTTGTTGTTTAACACTGCAACCAGTAAGATTCCAGCTACTTGACAGTGGTCTGTAAATAATCGAGTATGGAGCAGACAATCCAGTGGCTCACATCATGGTCATCAAGCCTGAGCACCCAATCCATTTAGTTGCCTCTGTGGATGAATATCATTACCCAGTATGCCCTCAGGTGGATTGTTTTTTAGCATGAGAGTCATCTGTATATACAAACTTTCCCGGAATCCCCATGGAGGGATTGTTGAGAGTCGCCACGTATACAGACTTTCCCGGAATCCCCATGGATGGACTGTTGAGCGTTGCCATGTATACAAACTTTCCCGGAATCCCCATGGAGGGATTGTTGAGCGTTGCCATGTATACAAACTTTCCCGGAATCCCCATGGATGGATTGTTGAGCGTTGCCATGTATACAAACTTTCCCGTAATTCCAACAGGTGGATTGTTGAGAGTTGCCATGTATACAGACTTTCCCGTAATCCCCATGGATGGACTGTTGAGAGTTGCCATGTATACAGACTTTCCCGTAATTCCAACAGGTGGATTGTTGAGAGTTGCCATGTATACAGACTTTCCCGTAATCCCCATGGATGGACTGTTGAGAGTTGCCATGTATACAGACTTTCCCGTAATTCCAACAGGTGGATTGTTGAGAGTTGCCATGTATACAGACTTTTCCGTAATTCCTACAGATGGATTGTTGAGAGTGGCCATGCATACAGACTTTCTCGTAATTCCAACAGAGGGATTGTTGAGAGTCGCCATGTATACAGACTTTCCCGTAATTCCAACAGGTGGATTGTTGAGAGTCGCCATGTATACAGACTTTCCCGTAATTCCAACAGAGGGATTGTTGAGAGTTGCCATGTATACAGACTTTCCCGTAATTCCAACAGAGGGATTGTTGAGAGTTGCCATGTATACAGACTTTCCCGTAATTCCAACAGGTGGGTTGTTGAGAGTTGCCATCTATACAGACTTTCCCGTAATTCCTACAGAGGGATTGTTGAGAGTTGCCATGTATACAGACTTTCCCGTAATTCCAACAGAGGGATTGTTGAGAGTCGCCATGTATACAGACTTTCCCGTAATTCAAACAGGTGGGTTGTTGAGAGTTGCCATCTATACAGACTTTCCCGTAATTCCAACAGAGGGATTGTTGAGAGTTGCCATGTATACAGACTTTCCCGTAATTCCAACAGAGGGATTGTTGAGAGTCGCCATGCATACAGACTTTCCCGTAATCTCAACAGATGGATTGTTGAGAGTTGCCATGCATACAGACTTTCCCGTAATTCCAACAGAGGGATTGTTGAGAGTCGCCATGTATACAGACTTTCCCGTAATCTCAACAGATGGATTGTTGAGAGTTGCCATGTATACAGACTTTCCCAGAATACCAACAGAGGGATTGTTGAGAGTTGCCATGTATACAGACTTTCCCGTAATTCCAACAGGTGGATTGTTGAGAGTCGCCATGTATACAGACTTTCCCAGAATACCAACAGAGGGATTGTTGAGAGTTGCCATGTATACAGACTTTCCCGTAATTCCAACAGAGGGATTGTTGAGAGTTGCCATGTATACAGACTTTCCCAGAATTCCAACAGGTGGATTGTTGAGAGTTGCCATGCATACAGACTTTCCCGTAATTCCAACAGGTGGATTGTTGAGAGTCGCCATGTATACAGACTTTCCCAGAATACCAACAGAGGGATTGTTGAGAGTCGCCATGTATACAGACTTTCCCAGAATTCCAACAGGTGGATTGTTGAGAGTTGCCATGTATACAGACTTTCCCAGAATACCAACAGAGGGATTGTTGAGAGTTGCCATGTATACAGACTTTCCCAGAATTCCAACAGGTGGATTGTTGAGAGTTGCCATGTATACAGACTTTCCCAGAATACCAACAGAGGGATTGTTGAGAGTTGTGCTGGAAATGGGTGAAAAATAAGCTCTACTTTCAGAGAAACAAAGTCTTGAAGCAGTGACTCAAAACATATTATGTGTCCAACAAAAATCTCAGCCCCACCAAGAAAACTAAATGGTTGGTCTCTAAAAGGAATTGGTGGTTGTAGTGTGAGTGGGTTTATTGTGTGTCATCATAGCCTGATGTCATGGTGGTGTGCATGCTATTAACCACTGGGTTGACAGATCCAGAAAGTGTGATGAAACTTGAACACTCCCCAGGGAGCTGAGACTGAAAGTCGAGTGGACACTGATCCATTGTAATATAAATGTAGCGTTTACAGCCCTTGGTAGTGTGGAACTATATCACAACATAAATGGATAGCCTTCTTGTTGTTAATATTGCTGACTGGCATCAAACAACTTTCAATCACAAGTAAAAACAAGTGGATTTCGCAGTCATGGAATATATTTTGCAGAATTGTTGTCTTCATACAGAGATGTACTTGGCTTGCAGAGAGCACAGTACTGCAGAAGTTCACTATTTCATGACTCCTGTAACAACCCTTAAAACCTGGACAATCTTTGTCTGGCCCAACCTATCTCATTTGAAAATTTCCTAGACTGTCCAAATTGACCCATAATCAACAACATGAACCAAATACAACTGTGTGGCACGCAGCTTTTTTTATTAATGCTTCTGACATGAAACAATTCCAATGCAGCTACAAACACCGACAGAGAACGAAAAACAGACAGCATCTTTATCAACATAAACATATCTACAGAGATGCCAACCAAAACTGAATCTTTCGGAGTAAACAGGGCAGTAATCAGTAATCAGCGATGCTTTAAAAATTTGCTCTCCAGGATATTTCATGAATCTAAATAATTCGTTAAACAAATGACAAAAATCATAATTTGTGGGATTTGTGTAATTTTAGGCTATTACGTCAAACCATAACGGTTGGCATCTCTGTGTACAGATGTACAGACGAAATGGTCTGAAGGTAGCTGAAGCCCGACACGTAAAACCAGAGAAAAAAACATTTGTGAAAAAAATCTGGAACCGTGTTCCCTCAACGTATGCAGCGCTACCTCTACTGGAGGGTTTACAGTATCAGACAAGCATTGTCATCAAATAAACAATCAACAGTACACAATTCATAATATACCATATATATGCAAATATATACAAAAATTACCACTAAAAGACTTTTAATTGACACTTCTAACATGAAACAATACCAACACCACTAAAAGACTTTTAATTGACACTTCTAACATGAAACATGTCAACCAACATAAATATATCTACAGAGATGCCAACTCAAATTGAAGCTTTGGAGTAATCAGAGCAGTAATCAGTAATCACTGGTGTTTTAATTTAATTTAATTTAACAATTTGCTCTCCAGGATATTTATGAATCTAAATAATTCATGACAAAAAATTTGATTTGAAGGGGGACAAGCCTAATAGAGTAATTATCAGCTCAAAATTGATACTATTACGCCAAAATTGTAACTATTACACCAAATTGTAACTATTACGCCAAAATTGTAACTGTTACACCAAAATTGTAACTGTTACGCCAAAATTGTAACTATTACGCCAAAATTGTAACTGTTACGCCAAAATTGTAACTGTTACGCCAAAATTGTAACTATTACGCCAAAATTGTAACTATTACGCCAAAATTGTAACTGTTACGCCAAAATTGTAACTGTTACGCCAAAATTGTAACTGTTACACCAAAATTGTAACTGTTACGCCAAAATTGTAACTATTACGCCAAAATTGTAACTATTACGCCAAAATTGTAACTGTTACGCCAAAATTGTAACGGTTGGCATCTCTGTGTACAGATGTACAGATGAAATGGTCTGAAGGTAGCTGAAGCCCGACACGTAAAACCAGAGAAAAAAACATTGGTGAAAAAACTCTGGAACCGTGTTCCCTCAACGAATGCAGCGCTACCTCTACTGGAGGGTTTACAGTATCAGACAAGCATTGTCATCAAATAAACAATCAACAGTACACAATTCATAATATACCATATCTATGCAAATATATGCAGATTTACCGCTGTTCTACAAGGCAATTGGGGGTCATGGGTGGCCCAGTCATCCAACGCTTGGCAATTCTCATTAAAATCAGATCTCAGTTCTCGCTATTGCTAAAAAAAGATCTGAGGACATCCCATTACGGGTCACGTCAGAATGACCATTCATCCGACCAATCAAAGCGTTGGTTACCTGATCATGAAAGTGACAGTCGGAATGTGTTTTCTAATCATGCAACCTCGAAAACGTTAACACGGGGTATTCCGAATGACAGTAACAGCCCGTAACACTGATTCTGTCAAAATTTTCGTCTATCTCTCGCTGTCGTGGGATAAACATTTGAACGGAGGATGTGTACGTTGCACAGTACGTGGGAAGCACTGCCATACAATCTCAACCATATATTAGACATTCCGGAATGTTCGGTTCCTCAGTTTTCAAAATTTTAATCGAGAACTGTGTAAACATATTTTACAAGCGTAGTTTGAAATGGAAGTCGCCGGGTTGAAACGAGTACCGTAAAGCTTGAGAAAGCTGCTTTCGAATTGGTTGATGTCGACTTCTTGTTTGTCATTTCAGTGATCGGTCAAAGTTCGCGCAAGGTCGTTCTGACGTGACCTGTAATGGGATGTCCTAAGATCTTTGTTTAGCGGTAGCGAGAACTAAGATCTGATTTTGATGAGATTGTACAGTATCAGACACGCTTTGAAACAGACATATTGTATTCAGATAAAATAACAATCATGTATACACAATTCTTTATGTGTAGATAACATAAGGCTCTCCATCCCTCGCGAATTTACAATAAAACTCGCCATATCTATTTACCAAGAAGGCTTTGCGTAACATATCAAAATATCAAAACTTTCAGTAATTTATTTACCTCAAAAAGAAAATATCGCGAGAATATAGCTACTAAATATAACTTAAAATTTTGTAACCTGTAAACAGCTGTACATAATTAAACAATGACAAGTCTATCATCAATACGCAATCATCGTGGTCAGTCAGGGGTAAGAAGTGTGAAAATAATTCAGCAGGCTAAAGGTTAAGATGCCTAATAATTTCTTGTAAAATAGGAGTTGCATTACATACTTCATATGTAGAGGTCTGAGGGAGCTTTCTTGTAAATATTTCAATAGGATGTCTTGATAACGTGTCTGCTTTTCGATTGTTTTTACCCTTAATGTATTCACATCTTAGATGAAGGTTGTTTGATTCTATTTCATCCCTAATTAACTCTAACATCTTTTCTTGAGCTTTACTCTTCTTTTTCCTTTTGCGTCCATTAATTGCATTAACAGTGCACTGATTGTCACAGTATAAAAGAACGTTCCCACCATACATTCGTGAACCCCAAAGTTTGAGAGCGACCAAAATGGGCAACATTTCTAAATCATTATTATGAAGGTCTAATTCGTTTTCAAAGCCAGCACTAAATATATAATATTTGGAGCCAACCTTCAAGTAGCCCCCAATGCCAGAAAGGTTGGCATATCTTTTTCCACATGAATCAGTAAAAATAGAGAATTCAGGGGGGCCGGCGTAAGGTTCAGGGGCCGGTAGGTTCGGGGGGACTGGTAGGTTCAGGAGGACCCGTAGGTTCAGGGGGGCCGGTAAGTGCTTTCTAAATTTCTTATTTATATCAACAGTGGAGTGATTGCCACCATATGGTAGAACAGAGGGTTCAGACATTTGTAGATCCCAAAGTTTGACAGGAGCATTACTGGCTAATAATTTATTGTTCTCAAGTTGTAATGGATTTTCATCATAAACGTTAGAAAGTAAGTGCTTTCTAAATTTCTTATTTATATCAACAGTGGAGTGATTGCCACCATATGGTAGAACAGAGGGTTCAGACATTTGTAGATCCCAAAGTTTGACAGGAGCATTACTGGCTAATAATTTATTGTTCTCAAGTTGTAATGGATTTTCATCATAAACGTTAGAAAGTAAGTGCTTTCTAAATTTCTTATTTATATCAACAGTGGAGTGATTGCCACCATATGGTAGAACCATGGCTTCAGACATTTGTAGATCCCAAAGTTTGACAGGAGCATTACTGGCTAATAATTTATTGTTCTCAAGTTGTAATGGATTTTCATCATAAACGTTAGAAAGTAAGTGCTTTCTAAATTTCTTATTTATATCAACAGTGGAGTGATTGCCACCATATGGTAGAACCATGGCTTCAGACATTTGTAGATCCCAAAGTTTGACAGGAGCATTACTGGCTAATAATTTATTGTTCTCAAGTTGTAATGGATTTTCATCATAAACGTTAGAAAGTAAGTGCTTTCTAAATTTCTTATTTATATCAACAGTGGAGTGATTGCCACCATATGGTAGAACCATGGCTTCAGACATTTGTAGATCCCAAAGTTTGACAGGAGCATTACTGGCTAATAATTTATTGTTCTCAAGTTGTAATGGATTTTCATCATAAACGTTAGAAAGTAAGTGCTTTCTAAATTTCTTATTTATATCAACAGTGGAGTGATTGCCACCATATGGTAGAACCATGGCTTCAGACATTTGTAGATCCCAAAGTTTGACAGGAGCATTACTGGCTAATAATTTATTGTTCTCAAGTTGTAATGGATTTTCATCATAAACGTTAGAAAGTAAGTGCTTTCTAAATTTCTTATTTATATCAACAGTGGAGTGATTGCCACCATATGGTAGAACCATGGCTTCAGACATTTGTAGATCCCAAAGTTTGACAGGAGCATTACTGGCTAATAATTTATTGTTCTCAAGTTGTAATGGATTTTCATCATAAACGTTAGAAAGTAAGTGCTTTCTAAATTTCTTATTTATATCAACAGTGGAGTGATTGCCACCATATGGTAGAACCATGGCTTCAGACATTTGTAGATCCCAAAGTTTGACAGGAGCATTACTGGCTAATAATTTATTGTTCTCAAGTTGTAATGGATTTTCATCATAAACGTTAGAAAGTAAGTGCTTTCTAAATTTCTTATTTATATCAACAGTGGAGTGATTGCCACCATATGGTAGAACCATGGCTTCAGACATTTGTAGATCCCAAAGTTTGACAGGAGCATTACTGGCTAATAATTTATTGTTCTCAAGTTGTAATGGATTTTCATCATAAACGTTAGAAAGTAAGTGCTTTCTAAATTTCTTATTTATATCAACAGTGGAGTGATTGCCACCATATGGTAGAACCATGGCTTCAGACATTTGTAGATCCCAAAGTTTGACAGGAGCATTACTGGCTAATAATTTATTGTTCTCAAGTTGTAATGGATTTTCATCATAAACGTTAGAAAGTAAGTGCTTTCTAAATTTCTTATTTATATCAACAGTGGAGTGATTGCCACCATATGGTAGAACCATGGCTTCAGACATTTGTAGATCCCAAAGTTTGACAGGAGCATTACTGGCTAATAATTTATTGTTCTCAAGTTGTAATGGATTTTCATCATAAACGTTAGAAAGTAAGTGCTTTCTAAATTTCTTATTTATATCAACAGTGGAGTGATTGCCACCATATGGTAGAACCATGGCTTCAGACATTTGTAGATCCCAAAGTTTGACAGGAGCATTACTGGCTAATAATTTATTGTTCTCAAGTTGTAATGGATTTTCATCATAAACGTTAGAAAGTAAGTGCTTTCTAAATTTCTTATTTATATCAACAGTGGAGTGATTGCCACCATATGGTAGAACCATGGCTTCAGACATTTGTAGATCCCAAAGTTTGACAGGAGCATTACTGGCTAATAATTTATTGTTCTCAAGTTGTAATGGATTTTCATCATAAACGTTAGAAAGTAAGTGCTTTCTAAATTTCTTATTTATATCAACAGTGGAGTGATTGCCACCATATGGTAGAACCATGGCTTCAGACATTTGTAGATCCCAAAGTTTGACAGGAGCATTACTGGCTAATAATTTATTGTTCTCAAGTTGTAATGGATTTTCATCATAAACGTTAGAAAGTAAGTGCTTTCTAAATTTCTTATTTATATCAACAGTGGAGTGATTGCCACCATATGGTAGAACCATGGCTTCAGACATTTGTAGATCCCAAAGTTTGACAGGAGCATTACTGGCTAATAATTTATTGTTCTCAAGTTGTAATGGATTTTCATCATAAACGTTAGAAAGTAAGTGCTTTCTAAATTTCTTATTTATATCAACAGTGGAGTGATTGCCACCATATGGTAGAACCATGGCTTCAGACATTTGTAGATCCCAAAGTTTGACAGGAGCATTACTGGCTAATAATTTATTGTTCTCAAGTTGTAATGGATTTTCATCATAAACGTTAGAAAGTAAGTGCTTTCTAAATTTCTTATTTATATCAACAGTGGAGTGATTGCCACCATATGGTAGAACCATGGCTTCAGACATTTGTAGATCCCAAAGTTTGACAGGAGCATTACTGGCTAATAATTTATTGTTCTCAAGTTGTAATGGATTTTCATCATAAACGTTAGAAAGTAAGTGCTTTCTAAATTTCTTATTTATATCAACAGTGGAGTGATTGCCACCATATGGTAGAACCATGGCTTCAGACATTTGTAGATCCCAAAGTTTGACAGGAGCATTACTGGCTAATAATTTATTGTTCTCAAGTTGTAATGGATTTTCATCATAAACGTTAGAAAGTAAGTGCTTTCTAAATTTCTTATTTATATCAACAGTGGAGTGATTGCCACCATATGGTAGAACCATGGCTTCAGACATTTGTAGATCCCAAAGTTTGACAAGAGCATTACTGGCTAATAATTTATTGTTCTCAAGTTGTAATGGATTTTCATCATAAACGTTAGAAAGTAAGTGCTTTCTAAATTTCTTATTTATATCAACAGTGGAGTGATTGCCACCATATGGTAGAACCATGGCTTCAGACATTTGTAGATCCCAAAGTTTGACAGGAGCATTACTGGCTAATAATTTATTGTTCTCAAGTTGTAATGGATTTTCATCATAAACGTTAGAAAGTAAGTGCTTTCTAAATTTCTTATTTATATCAACAGTGGAGTGATTGCCACCATATGGTAGAACCATGGCTTCAGACATTTGTAGATCCCAAAGTTTGACAGGAGCATTACTGGCTAATAATTTATTGTTCTCAAGTTGTAATGGATTTTCATCATAAACGTTAGAAAGTAAGTGCTTTCTAAATTTCTTATTTATATCAACAGTGGAGTGATTGCCACCATATGGTAGAACCATGGCTTCAGACATTTGTAGATCCCAAAGTTTGACAGGAGCATTACTGGCTAATAATTTATTGTTCTCAAGTTGTAATGGATTTTCATCATAAACGTTAGAAAGTAAGTGCTTTCTAAATTTCTTATTTATATCAACAGTGGAGTGATTGCCACCATATGGTAGAACCATGGCTTCAGACATTTGTAGATCCCAAAGTTTGACAGGAGCATTACTGGCTAATAATTTATTGTTCTCAAGTTGTAATGGATTTTCATCATAAACGTTAGAAAGTAAGTGCTTTCTAAATTTCTTATTTATATCAACAGTGGAGTGATTGCCACCATATGGTAGAACCATGGCTTCAGACATTTGTAGATCCCAAAGTTTGACAGGAGCATTACTGGCTAATAATTTATTGTTCTCAAGTTGTAATGGATTTACATCATTAACGTTAGAAAGTAAGTGCTTTCTGAATTTCTTGATTATATCAACAGTGGAGTGATTGCCACGGTATGATAGAACCATGGCTTCAAGCATTGGTGGATCCCCAAGTTTGACAGTAACATCAATGGCTAATAATTTATTGTTCTCAAGTTGTAATGGATTTTCATCATAAACGTTAGAAAGTAAGTGCTTTCTAAATTTCTTATTTATATCAACAGTGGAGTGATTGCCACGGTATGATAGAACCATGGCTTCAGACATTTGTAGATCCCAAAGTTTGACAGGAGCATTACTGGCTAATAATTTATTGTTCTCAAGTTGTAATGGATTTACATCATTAACGTTAGAAAGTAAGTGCTTTCTGAATTTCTTGATTATATCAACAGTGGAGTGATTGCCACGGTATGATAGAACCATGGCTTCAAGCATTGGTGGATCCCCAAGTTTGACAGTAACATCAATGGCTAATAATTTATTGTTCTCAAGTTGTAATGGATTTACATCATTAACGTTAGAAAGTAAGTGCTTTCTGAATTTCTTGATTATATCAACAGTGGAGTGATTGCCACGGTATGATAGAACCATGGCTTCAAGCATTGGTGGATCCCCAAGTTTGACAGTAACATCAATGGCTAATAATTTATTGTTCTCAAGTTGTAATGGATTTACATCATTAACGTTAGAAAGTAAGTGCTTTCTGAATTTCTTGATTATATCAACAGTGGAGTGATTGCCACGGTATGATAGAACCATGGCTTCAAGCATTGGTGGATCCCCAAGTTTGACAGTAACATCAATGGCTAATAATTTATTGTTCTCAAGTTGTAATGGATTTACATCATTAACGTTAGAAAGTAAGTGCTTTCTGAATTTCTTGATTATATCAACAGTGGAGTGATTGCCACGGTATGATAGAACCATGGCTTCAAGCATTGGTGGATCCCCAAGTTTGACAGTAACATCAATGGCTAATAATTTATTGTTCTCAAGTTGTAATGGATTTACATCATTAACGTTAGAAAGTAAGTGCTTTCTGAATTTCTTGATTATATCAACAGTGGAGTGATTGCCACGGTATGATAGAACCATGGCTTCAGACATTGGTGGATCCCCAAGTTTGACAGTAACATCAATGGCTAATAATTTATTGTTCTCAAGTTGTAATGGATTTACATCATTAACGTTAGAAAGTAAGTGCTTTCTGAATTTCTTGATTATATCAACAGTGGAGTGATTGCCACGGTATGATAGAACCATGGCTTCAAGCATTGGTGGATCCCCAAGTTTGACAGTAACATCAATGGCTAATAATTTATTGTTCTCAAGTTGTAATGGATTTACATCATTAGCGTTAGAAAGTAAGTGCTTTCTGAATTTCTTGATTATATCAACAGTGGAGTGATTGCCACGGTATGATAGAACCATGGCTTCAGACATTGGTGGATCCCCAAGTTTGACAGTAACATCAATGGCTAATAATTTATTGTTCTCAAGTTGTAATGGATTTACATCATTAGCGTTAGAAAGTAAGTGCTTTCTGAATTTCTTGATTATATCAACAGTGGAGTGATTGCCACGGTATGATAGAACCATGGCTTCAAGCATTGGTGGATCCCCAAGTTTGACAGGAGCATTACTTGCTAATAATTTATTGTTCTCAAGTTGTAATGGATTTTCAAAATAAATGCCCAAACTACGGTATTTGGAGCCATCATTCCAGATGGCGCCAGTGCCAGGATGTCTAGGATCAGAACCATCAGTAAGTTTCAAACATGAATCTGTAAAGATAGTTATTCTACCAACAGCCACATCAGGCCTCGATATTTTATCATGGTTTGTTCCAGCGACTCCCATCTTCATCTTGAGGAAAGCTGTGTACCAATTCTTCATTTCCAGTGTGGAAACTGCAAATTAATAAATTATATAAAAATCATAGGTATGATTTAGTGTCACACTTAGGCCTTTTATTTATTAATTATTTGGTTTACAGATTTTTCTTAAAACCGCAGGCTCAGTGATTGAAATATAAAGACAATAATAAATAATATTTCAGAATAATATTTAAAATAAGTGGTCACTAAGTAATAGAGTCAGTTACAATTATTACACATGCAATCTCATGTATACCACGTAGATGGGGCCTGTGCCTGTGCCACTATTATCTTTTTTTCTAAGTGTAATATATAACCTGACTTGGTGGAATAAAAATCAATTATTGTGGAAAGTTATTCCACATTTGTGAATTTAAATTTGGCTGATGTGTCACCAAGTTAATATTAAAAAAAGCATCCTTAGAAAATTACTATCAGTATGATCAGCATGGATTAAAACACAAAGTTCTCAAATGATTTTCTCGACACTGTTGTTTTCATACTAAAAAGAGAGATTAAAACATGTATTGCACAATATTTTGCTGTCATCTTACAAATAATAGTTGTTTATTTTGTTAATGATTTGTTTCTTCATATATATTTGTGATACAGAAATGATTGACTTAAACCCAGGCCTGTCAACCAGTTGGCAGGCTTCATTATGATGCAGGTTTTCTAAGTATTTGGCGCGATTTGGGTTACAAAATACGCCAAAGAAATATCAACTGCATTTATCCTGATGCAACGTGAAGGCCCCTTATTTCAATAAGATATATTGGGTTTTTTCTGTCGGCGGTAGTCTGCTGACAATCCCATTTCTTCGCTTTGTAAGTTTGCCACAAATGCTCATGTTATTCCATTCCAAGAAATGTATCCATATTTGGAAGTACTATTACGTTTTACCACAATTTATGAATGAAATCTGTCTCGTCGTTGTTGACCTTTCTGACCTTGACGTGTATTAATCTCATTGGTTGACAAGTACTGTTGTATGCAAATTAGATTGCCAATCTGGGGCCGTTCCACAAAGCGATTGTAGCGCTACGACTGTCGTAAGTCTATGTTAAAGTATGGGGGTTAAGATCTTCGTAGTGCTACGATCGCTTTGTAGAACGGGGCCCTGGGACGCTAGCAAACTATTAGCCAATCAAATCGTGTAAAATAATCACATCATACATTCTTATGAAATTTGATAAAGTTCTATGTGTTCATATTTCTGTGTGCACACAAGTCACAATGTCAGTCAATAGGAAATTTATAAGTTTCACTTTAAACTTTGACTTTGAATCCCTAGCTATGAGGAAGCCTGATCGTGTAACTCATTGTTATTTCGACTACCGAATCAACCAATCATGCATAGTGTTGTTTCTGGAGACGGCGCTTGCAGATCATATTTTGTTTTCATTTCCGAGAGTTAAATGACATAACTTTGAAGTATGTTGATGTTTAACAAAGTTTCTGACGAATCTGATAAGCAACAAAGTAATAAACACTCTAAGAACACGAAGACAACAGTTCATTTCAGGATTATTCATTTAAAGTTCAACCCTTCAGGCACCTTCAGACTATCTGAGTTTTCTTTACAGTTTACATGGTTAAATCGTTCACCACAAGAATTTATTTACCAGTTGATTACCAGACAAAAGTTAATCTGGGTCCCACTGCGGTGGCTGTGATAAGAGTCACTAATCCAGTTCTTTGTTTTTACTCAAGGGACAATGGAGGCAAATTTTTAAAAATAATGAAGAATTCTGTTTGGGGGAGAAAAAGTCCATCATGCGGGAGACTGGGAGATTTCATCAAATTGAGGGAGTCTCCCGCAAAATGCAGGAGGGTTGACAGGTCTGTAAACCATATTATTAGAATCACAATTCAGTATATATCAGCCTGACCAACAGATCAAGAACCTAACTTAGTATGAAAATAGCTAATTTTCTGTGATATTTTTACATCAATATAGTACCCCTCTGACATGTGTAAATTGGCACGGCTCCCATGGCCGAAAGCTGTGAATACACAATGCCATTTATTATCCCAAATATAACATTTGTTACATTTGACCACTTTCTAAATAGCATTGTGTATTCATAAAAATGAGTTTTTAAAATGAAAAAGTCAAGTGCATTTTGCCTATTACAGTATTTTCTTGTGCCTAGTAGACCCACTTTTGGGTTTTTTATCCTTTTACGGAAGAGAATTATAATATTTTAGACTGTGCACGCAGTAGAGAACAAACATAGTCAGTGGCTCAGTGTTTTTGTAAAGTTTGAGCCAAAAGGTTTCTTTTCCTGTCGTGGATTTTATTATTTTGAAGGTGACAGCAGCAAGAAATTAAATTGGTCTTCACATAATGAACATACTAAGAAGAGAACCATCCCTGGTCTTTAGAAAACTCTGTGAGATAAAAATAAGTTTCTTACCGAACAGAATGCGAGAGACGCAGAGACGCAGAGACGCAGGTGAAACCAACGAGCACAGGTATGGTGACAAACCTAGAAACATAATCAGGTGGAATCCGGAATTTTAACCCGTGATCAAAGTGCCCAGACTTTGTTAGAACAAAGTGACACATATGATATGCATATGCATTCAATCATATTGTTGAAGTGAGAACTGTCCTGCCTTTGTACAAGGAAGAGCTGTATGATATCTGTCCATTTATCTTATTATGATGACAAATTCCAAACATTTTGATCTTTAATTTCATAACCCAGTGACAGAAAATGACCGGATTTAAAGTACATTTCTATAATTTTATCTAATCCTGACTCATACTTATTGCTTTTTACTTCTCATTTCTGATAGTGGAAACTTCCTGAACTGTGGTATTGAAAATGACATTGGCGTGATAGTTCATGTTTTTAAACATTCAATCATATTGTTGAAGTGAGAACTTTCCTGCCTTTGTACAAGGAAGAGCTGTATGAATTTTCCTTTTTACGGAAACAACTCTTAATATATAGTTGACAGAGAAAACGACTTCTGTTGAAAATCTAAAACTTTAGCTATAGTTGTATTCCACCCAAATACAGGATTATTGAAGTTATGCAACAGAGGTAGTATTCTTAGAATTATGAACAATCATAACTATTGTTTTGATTTTGAAAGCCCAGAATATAAAATGGTCAGCCTCTTGAGTGATGAATGACTTACCTTGAGTGGCTTGATTTTTACTCTGTAATGATATCTCATTCTCAGATGGTTCCTTTTTATCACCTGAAACCAAGATATTTTCAACTGTGAGTTATTTGAATAGCATATTATTGATTTGCATGCCGTTTTCTGAATGATTATGTTCAAAGTAGTCAGGGGAAACATTCTGTCCCACTACTGGTACCCGCCATTTTGAATTCTCCATTCATGATCAGGATACAGTGATCTTTGTATTGGTGTCATTAATCTTCCTAGTACTTGAGAATAAGAATCTAGATACACTATACGACCAGCTAAAGTTACCTAATGTATCACTTTAGCTATATTTAGTTATCAGTATTTATCATCTGTATGTATCTTAGCAGGACAGGGGCGGTCGGGTAGCCTAGTGGTTAAAGCGTTTGCTCGTCACGCCGAACACCCGGGTTCGATTCCCGACATGGGTATAATGTGTGAAACCCATTTCTGGATTCCCCTGCCGCGATATTGCTGGAATATTGCTAAAAGTGGCGAAAAACCATACTCACTCACTTACTCACTCACTCACAGCAGGACAGGGACAGACAATGGCACGGCATCATGGACTAAATATGGTCACATCTGCCTGTTATCCTGCTCATGAGCAGAACACCACTAGTCGCAGGTAATGTGTGCCTGTAGGCTATGTATAGTGGTATGTTTCTGGTTCTGATTTGGCAACGTTGTGTCTTTTCTTTTCTTTTTTGCTTTATCCATTTTTTAAACTACATTTTTTTAATGACATAAGCTATCTTCTGAATCATTCAGTTGTCTCTGATATTAAAATGCCCCTTTTCAAGCGATTCTTAAAGGGGCTCTAATCTCTGGCTTCTACCCGGCTGTCTAACCCTAACCCACTTGGGCTCACTAGGTGCATGTTCGTTAACGCAACGGAGTCTGACAAGAGACTGGGCTATTGTCTGTAAGGACAACGTAAATATACTGTGAGGTAATATCTATACACATTTCTGAACACTCATTGGTTACTCGTGATCTGTGAAGGTTTTGATAGTACAAAAGGCCCATGTCAATTAATTTCTTTTACCTAAACAAAAAGAACGGTGGAAGCACATCCGATGTTGTTATTAATTTTTGAAATAACCCTGATGGTTGTAGTTTAATGGAAAAAAAAAAGCATCCACATTGAAAGCATTTCAGATTTTGGATTTCGTATTACATGGATTATACGAATGCCACTACCGTGTTGTCATCCATGTATCTTGGTATAACCCTACACCCATGTATTTGTTGTCAATCACTTAATGTTACCGGTATAATTAGTGGTAGCTCCAGTCAGAATACCTGACAAAGGTTCAGGGCGAATCTGGGATTTTAACCCATGATCAAAGTGCCCAGACTTTATGTTAGAACAAAGTGACACATATGACATGCATGTTTCATCACATTGTTAGTCAAAGATAGTTTCAGAATCTTGAATACAATACTGACCATTCAGATACAATGGTGATATATATTCCTACCAAGTTAGGACAGTGTTGACATGATGAATATTAAGAAGTCACCAGCCCACTCCATAAAACTCCATTATAGGTTGGTCCAAGGTCCTGATATGTCTCATAGTGACAATATCACAACAAGGAACATTACTTTTATAACAAGGAAAATAAATAATTTTGAATTAAGACAGTCAAATCTTGCTTTTTAAAAGTTGAGTAGAACACTACTTACTAGTAGATGGATTGGGGTCATGTTCTCCGCTTGGCTGATGTTGTACGTCATCACGATCTGAAAAAAGGTAGCGTATGTCTGTTAGGCGAGAATATAGGTCTCTGGTGTTTTGGTTTGTTAGTATCTTACGAGAACGAGTGTAGTATTCTCTATTTCATCACATTGTTAGTCAAAGATAGTTTCAGAATCTTGAATACAATACTGACCATTCAGATACAATGGTGATATATATTCCTACCAAGTTAGGACAGTGTTGACATGATGAATATTAAGAAGTCACCAGGCCACTCCATAAAACTCCATTATAGGTTGGTCCAAGGTCCTGATATGTCTCATAGTGACAATATCACAACAAGAAACATTATTTCTATAACCGTCAAAATAAATTATTTTGAATTAAAACAGTCAAATCTTGCTTTTCAAAAGTTGAGTAGAATACTACTTACTAGTATAAGCATTGGGGTCAGGTTCTCCCCTTAGCGGCAGATCTGGTGCGTCATCACGATCTGGAAAAAGGTAACGTATGTCTGTTAGGCGAGAATATAGGTCTCTGGTGTTTTGGTTTGTTAGTATCTTACGAGAACGAGTGTAGTATTCTCTATTTCATCACATTGTTAGTCAAAGATAGTTTCAGAATCTTGAATACAATACTGACCATTCAGATACAATGGTGATATATATTCCTACCAAGTTAGGACAGTGTTGACATGATGAATATTAAGAAGTCACCAGGCCACTCCATAAAACTCCATTATAGGTTGGTCCAAGGTCCTGATATGTCTCATAGTGACAATATCACAACAAGAAACATTATTTCTATAACCGTCAAAATAAATTATTTTGAATTAAAACAGTCAAATCTTGCTTTTCAAAAGTTGAGTAGAATACTACTTACTAGTATAAGCATTGGGGTCAGGTTCTCCCCTTAGCGGCAGATCTGGTGCGTCATCACGATCTGGAAAAAGGTAACGTATGTCTGTTAGGCGAGAATATAGGTCTCTGGTGTTTTGGTTTGTTAGTATCTTACGAGAACGAGTGTAGTATTCTCTATTTCATCACATTGTTAGTCAAAGATAGTTTCAAACAAACAGAACGGTGGAAGACATCGCAGCAAGAGCGTAAGGACCAGTTACAAAAAAAAAACATCCATGAAAATATTAATCAAAAATCGTTGATTGTTATGTTGCACAGTGGATTTGCCAATAGTAAATCTTTATATATGTAGTTTTACTAAAGCAGACGGAATACACACATATCTGGGCGTGAAGTTCTAATGTATAAACAACCTACTTTCTTCAAAGGATTAACCTATAATAAAATACAGAAGAAATTAAGAAGAATATCACATTGCCTCTTGTGTCTGCTCAGGTCATATGTGTATGTGTGTAAGATTATATGGACTTTTGGGCTTGTGAGCCAATTAACTCTAAGGGGGCACTGATCTACAGCAATGGCCCGGGTCTGGTTGTTGCCTTTATTGTATTTTCCATTGAGTACCCGGATGATATACCAGAAATCTTGACTTGTTTGTGACCTATGACAGAAGGCGCATTTGTCACTTGTACTGATTGTATAAGATCGTATCATCACATTGATCAACAAAATAAAAATAATAGTTTTGTCTTGGAAATAATAAGGAAATGTAGGTATCTTTGGTGACAAAGTTTTGAAAAGTCACTTGCTTGGTATTGTGCGATTTTTGTTTACACTATTTTGATGTATTTTAACACAAACTAAATATTTCATCTGAGTGTTGCTTATTTGATCGCGACTATATGTCATAGTCAATGTGTAAAAGACAATTTATTAAATGCCTCAATATTCAGTATTTTACAAACTGACTGAAATATCTGTCCATTTATTTTATTATGATGACAAATTCCAAACATTTTGATCTTTAATTTCATAACCAAGTGACATAAAAATGACCGGATTTAAAGTACATTTCTATAATTTTATCTAATCCTGACTCATACTTATTGCTTTTTACTTCTCATTTCTGATAGTGGAAACTTCCTGAACTGTGGTATTGAAAATGACATTGGCGTGATAGTTCATGTGTTTAAACATTCAATCATATTGTTGAAGTGAGAACTTTCCCGCCTTTGTACAAGGAAGAGCTGTATGAATTTTCCTTTTTACGGAAACAACTCTTAATATATAGTTGACAGAGAAAACGACTTCTGTTGAAAATCTAAAAGTTTAGCTATAGTGTTATTACACCCCAAATACAGGATTATTGAAATTATGCAACAGAGGTAGTATTCTTAGAATTATGAACAATGATAACTATTGTTTTGATTTTGAAATCCCAGAATATAAAATGGTCAGCCTTTTGAGTGATGAATGACTTACCTTGAGTGGCTGGAGTTCCACTATGTGTGACTTTCTCATTCTCAACTGGTTCCTTTTTATCACCTGAAACCAAGATATTTTCAACTGTTAGTTATTTGAATAGCATATTATTGATTTGCATGCCGTTTTCTGAATGATTATGTTCAAAGTAGTCAGGGGAAACATTCTGTCCCACTACTGGTATCCGCCATTTTGAATTCTCCATTCATGATCAGGATACAGTGATCTTTGTATTGGTGTCATTAATCTTCCTAGTACTTGAGAATAAGAATCTAGATACACTATACGACCAGCTAATAATAAAGAAATGTAGGTATCTTTGGTGACAAAGTTTTGAAAAGTCACTTGCTTGGTATTGTGCGATTTTTGTTTACACTATTTTGACTAATTTAACACAAACTAAATATTTCACCTGAGCATAGCTTATTTTATCGTGTGTATATGTCATAGTCAATGAGTAGTATAGGTAATGGGGGTTCTGCCGGAACTCCACTGGAGCCGGATTCATATACCTATACTGCTACTACAGGTGGCATTTTTTATGCGTAAATGATGATGCGATTCAATGATAGTCATAAGATTAAGTTAAATTGGGTCTAGCTCACCAATACCTGGGGCCAATCATTGCTTCTATTAGTATAAAAATGATGATGGGATTCAACGAAAGTCGTTTTAAAAGAAACATCAATATTAATTAATAATGGATAAAATTTACTATAGCCCACGAGGATATTGGAAAGGTGTAGGATCAATAAAAAAATTAGCCACCGCGGCTAAGGTATCTAAAGATGTGGCCAAGGATTGGTTTAAGAAACAAGCGATGTGGCAAATATATTTACCGGCACCGCGTTATATACCGAGGAAGAAGTTTGATATTTTTACGACGAATGAAGTTCATCAGGCTGACCTCTTGTTTCTTCCCCACGATAAGGTAAAACGCAAAACGTATAAATACGCTTTAACCATAGTGGATGTGGCTAGTCGATACAAAGAGGCTGAGCCATTAACATCGAAAGAATCAACAGAGGTAGCTAATGCACTGAGTCGCATATATAAACGCGGACCGCTAAAATGGCCTAAGCTATTTCAAGTAGATCCCGGTCGCGAGTTTATGGGATCGTTAACTAAACTGTTAACAAAGCACAATGTCCAAATCGTCCGTGGTGAAAGAGAGGCCCAGCGCAGTCAAGCTATCGTCGAAAGATTTAACCGGACATTAGCGGAACGTTTGTTTGGCTATCAGTATGGGATTGAAATGAAATCGGAACGATTGAGATCAACCGAATGGGTGACACGATTATCAGCCGTTGTATCAGCGCTGAATAATGAAGTAACGAGATTAATAGGGAAGAAACCATCCGATGCTATTAAAATGAAATCCGTGACTTCCGAATCTTCAGCACCGAGGAGAGGCAAAGAACGAAAACTTCCGGATAGAGTAAGGGTAAGATATTTATACCAGGCAGGTGAACTCGAAGGAGGCCTACGTCGCGCAACCGATCCCATATGGTCCCTTAAGACGTATAACATTAGTCGATTGGTTACGAAAGAAGGAGAGCCTATTCTTTATTATCTTCAAGATGGACCGGGTAGGGCATTTGTACGAGAAGAGTTGTTCATAGTTCCCGACGGTACGGTATTACCACCATAACCATAAGCATAGGTAGTTACACCATCATTATCAATCCATCTCTTTGTATCTAAGGGGGATAATGATGTCTTGTTCATTCTTAATCCATATATCCTATGATTGTAACTTCTTAAAGAGTTCATCTCGTTTGAAGGTTCTACCGTTAAATAATGATTCTTTATACTGTTCGTGTTTGATATGCTTTTTTACAACGTACTTCTTAACACCCTTGGCTTTTCTTATCTCTCCATTATCGGACTTTTTTATAGAATACATCTTAGGTCTTAATCCCACATACTCCGCTATAGGGGTCCCAGCACATTCATCCTTCATCTTACCTAACACCTTTTTATTTACAACGCTGTGCAGTGGATTATCTTTTGGGTAATCGCTCGTGTCGTACATATCTATTTTTTCTGCCATATCTTTATACACATCCTCGGTTTGTATTTCCATCAACAAAGAATCTGTGTCGGTATATAACACCTCACATCTATCGCGGTATTGCTTCTTAAGTTCGTTGTAATAAAAGTCATACATTAAGTGTTTTGACAAGTCGAGAATACTCATACCGACGTACACCGGTCTGTTGAATTTTATATTACTCTTCTGCATATGCAACACGGCTAAGTCATTATCCAATATCTTGCTTCTGTTAAAAGCCAGACTGGCTATAAGTTTCCTGAGTCTTTCTTCCTCATTAGATCTGACTAATTTAACATCAACACGCTTCCTTAGATTCTCCATAGTTTTACCAAATACCGAGTTATTCATGAGCTTATACAGATTCTTTTCGAAATCGCTGGTAGCTATCTTTCGTAAATCTGTGATCAACCTTATATAGGGCTCCATCCAAGGGCTTTGATCAAACTTTAGAACTCTATGTATTTTCTTAAGTTTCATACCTAACGATAGATATAACTGGAGATTTCTGTAGTGAACTATATATTTTGTTTTATCCATCAAATTTGGTACGAGTTTTTCTACGTTAGCTAACCTACTATTACCCATCAAGGAGTGTTGATATTCAGACATCCAATCTTTATTAACCATTAATCTTTCTGGAGCTAGCGGATAACTGTTATGGTCTTTATGTAACGAACTTGGATATTCCAAGTCAACTTCTAGTATGTACCCTTTATTCGCATCGATATTATGGATATCATTCACATTGATATTATGGATATCATCGACCCACTCAAAACCACCCGTAGGTAAAGGTTGACTCATAGCCCATCCGTACAAATTGTTAGCGTCGAGATATAATATGTGCGTGTCGCGTTTACTCGGATCGTATCTTTCCACTAATTTATTATTAGCCTTAGAATACCTTTTAGCTGCCATCGATATACCACCTCTTAATCCTTTCTCAATAAACAAGTGCATATCGTAATCTGTGAGTAGTTTTAGTTCTACGCCGGTCTAAATAAATAATAAAGCCAAGCTATCCGAAATCGACAAGCATATAGTTTACGAGAAAACAAAACTTGAACAGGCGGGTGATCATGAGTTCAATAGACGCCGCGTGGGGGAAAGATTGCGTAACTTAGAAGACGAAAGATCGGCCCGCCTCGAAGCAGCTTCCACTAATAGAGAGGCACTTTGTTCGCAAATCAGTCGTATTCGAGAAACTATCGATTGAGTCCTCAACGATGACACTACACTGGCCGATAAAATTAAAACATTGTTCAGAGAACAGGGAATAACCATTGCCAGTATTTTAACCGCGTTGGGATTTATTATATCGACTTTGACTCTCGCTTTAACCGGTGGCACAGGTGGTACAGGTGGTGGCGGATCACCTCCTAGTGATAAAAATGGTATTAAAGAGTGGATAAAAAAGCATTTAAAAGCATTAGGTTCAGCACTGGGAAAGCTCGCTGAGAAAGCCGCGGCCGCACTTCCCGGTATAATAGGGAGTATTGTTTCCTGGCTCTTGAATTTATTAGCTAAGACAACCACTTGGCTTAGTCAAAACTAGTGGGGGTTGATCGTAGCAATTGCAGGGCTGTTGTACGTATCCGCTAAGAACTATTTATCCAAATCAGTTCGCTAACCAAATCATGAGTAAACCAGCCGCGACTCCACCCACTACGAGCGCTGTTTTTTCATCGATATGTTTTTGATTTTTAGCCTCAATATGTGGTGGCACTTGTGCGTTAGTAGATGTGTTAGCGATAGTTGGTGTTTGCGGCTTGACTATTCCCGTTTCGCCCGTGATTGTTTGCGTTATTAATTCGACGTTAATATCTGAATTTATACCTGGTTTTTGTTGATCGGTTGCGATAACAATTTTATTATTATAGCCTATCACTTGACCGATCTTAAGTTCCATATTACTCGGAGACATGTATAGTCCCGGCGCATAAACGTAGTCCACTTTGGATTGAGCGTACTGTAATGCATCTTGAAAACGCTTTATAGACGATGGTATGTCAACTGGTGAATTAATGGCGTCCTCCATGTTTGCGACAAACTGTTTTTGCGCATCGAACGCCGTCCCAGTACCGATAATGGACATTTGTGTTTGCGATTGTGCTCCGAGAATTGCCCACACATAAGTTCTTATCGATTCATTAACTCTTTCAAATCCTTGGTTAGTAAAATTTTTTTCCGTTTTATCATTAAGAAATTCATTCCAAGCATCTGTTGTATCGTTTGGATGCACAAACTTTGTTATAATATAAGGAATGCCACTCTCAAAGTTCATACGTTCTGCTCTAAACTGTTTACTCGAGAGAGCAAAGCCTGAAGGGATCACACCCTCTTTAATTAAATAATCGCTTTTATCTTTAATAGTTCTTTGTCCATTGTACGGAATACCTAGACCATGGCTAGGTCCTTTAATGCGCCAATCTTTTCTCGTAGAAACATTAAATTCATTACAAATACGTTCGAAGGCCCTCTTATTATAATGATTATTTGCGTGATTCCATGCTGGATCCAGCGGTAATGGAGCACTAATTTCTTTAAGTATACGTCTAATCTGATAGTACACGTGAAATAATATAACAGACTTATATAGTTTAAATCCTGGGGCATTAACAGATACACCACATCCCGTTGTGGCACACCATACGGCAAAGTTTAACTGATTCTGCCAAAATTGCATCGGACGGTTAAACCAATCGTCTACCATTGTATCGTTAGTTGCCGTGAAACTGTATTTTTCAAAGATATCGTGGAATTTAACGGTAAACTCAGCACCAGAGGCAGTTACTATAATCGATTGATTAGTAATGTAAGTTGATTTCATATTTAAGTTATGATATAGTATCATTGTATATTTAATATGTATGTTACACTCCCGGGAATGGTCAGTCTATTGAACTGCTTCATACTATCGATAACTCGGATGGACAACTCGAAGTAGCTCTATGCGATGTAACGTGTTACCCGCTGTGGACCAATATAAATGCTGCAAAAAGAAATAATAAGATGATTATACCAGGTGAAAACAATGGTATTGACAAATCCATTATTATACCTGATGGGTATTACAGCGTATGCTCACTCAATGATGAAATTTTAAAGCCTAATGGAATGAGTATCACACAAAATGAGGCGACTGGGACAGTGAAAATATACACTGGAGAAACAAGTATATTTATTTACGAGGACTTAGCAATTACACTTGGACTTGGACAGTCAGCATTATTACCACCCAACAAACCAGTGACTGTATATGCATTACCCGATTTAGTTCCCTATAAAGAGTTGTGTATCCATCTTGATCAGATCAGTACGACGGATAATATTCAACAAGAAAGCCCTTCAACTCTACTCAGATGTGTTCCAGTTAAAGATGAAAAATACAATAGTGGTAGAACGGAATCTTTCTCAACATTACAATATAAAAAATTGAAGCGTGGTATTATTTCGGACATTAAAATTTCTGTATTAGATGTAAAACACCAACCTGTACATATAGGATACTTAAGTGTAACACTCCATATTATAAATAATGGTTGATTCCATATTTAAGTTATGATATAGTAATAAGTATCATTGTATATTTAATATGTATGTTACACTCCCGGGAATAACAAATGGCCAGTCTATTCAACTGCTTCGTACTATCGATAACTCGGATGGTCAGCTTGAAGTCGCTCTATGCGATGTAACGTATTACCCGCTGTGGACCAATATAAATGCTGCAAAAAATAATAATAGGATAATGCTAATGACTCCAAATGGTAATATTATCAAACGCATTACTATACCTGATGGGTATTACAGCGTAAGCTCACTCAATGATGAAATTTTTAAGCCTAATGGAGTTAGTCTCTCACAAAATGAGGCGACTGGGACAGTGAAAATAGACCATGGAAATAATATAATTGTATTGGAACAACCAGATACATTGGACCAACCAAGTACATGGGAATTTTATCGCTTAATTGGCACACATCCTGATGGAGATACATTGCCCGATTTAGTTCCCTATAAGGAGTTGTGCATCCATCTTGATCAAATAAGCACGACAAATAATATTCAACTAGAAAGTCCTTCAACTCTGCTCAGATGTGTTCCAGTGAAAAATGAAAAATATAATAGCGGTAGAACAGAATCTTTCTCACCATTACAATATAAAAAATTGAAGCGTGGTATTATTTCAGACCTCAAAATTTCTGTATTAGATGTAAAACACCAACCTGTACATATAGGATACTTAAGTGTAACACTCCATATTAAAAATAATGGTTGATGCATCAGGCCCTGGAACGCTCAGACAATGTAATACAATTGCGCTTTCCGATCTCGGAGACACAGAAGGATTTGATAAACCCGGTAACAATGGTAAGTTATACGCTTTACACTTACACGATAATGTATACAAGCGGAAAGAAGTCACATTCACGGGTAATCTAGAAGATATAAGCGATGTCGATGTTAGTAGACTCATTAAAAACACTTCGTACAATATTATTCTCAACGGCGAGAATAAATGGACTATGGTTGAAGCAAACATCGAGTGGCTACTGAATATCGTCATTACCCCACCTTATGTGATGATGGGTAAGGGACATAATTTAACTAAGATAATAAATAGTGGCATCGTACTCGCGGCTTATATCCCGTCAAAACGAAAAAGTGTGTTAGTTACCCCCCTGCCAGAAAACCCAGGTCATATGTTATATAGTCGTCCGGCAATCCAAAACGTTAGTTTAAATTTGGTTACTGAATTCGATGATATTAAACAGAACTTGAGTGCAATACCTAATATTTCCACGGTTATTATTGAAGTCTTGTTCGGAGATGCACCGGAATATGCCTTTGAAATATTACCAGGTCTATCGATTAAATGGCTAAAGAAACACCAACGTCGACGTTGCAGTATTATTCATATCGAAGCAACACCCGTTGCAACCCTCGAGGGGGTCCAAATTATTAAAAGTGACAGCATTTCTCTTTCTAAGATATTCTTGCCGTATAATATACATTTGATAAGGTTGATGTATAGTCTCAAAACATTTAAGCAAGACCAATTAAAGACTATTATATGATCGTAATATACACTATGAGTTTATATCCAGCGCTCGATGAAGCATTTGAAAAGATGGATACTGTTGATGGATTTCGATTACATCAAATAAGCGACATAAAACATCGAATAGAGAAGGATAGGGAGTTGAGACTTGGATTGTAGCAGTTTAGTGAAGGTCTTTTTAGAGCGAACAAACACATGCTACCGGGTTGAGGTCTTTATTGCGATGCGTTGAGTGTGATCAAGGATCTATATATCATACACCCTGAAACACATAATAACACAATAAATACTAAGTAAAACATTATCATTAATGCTAGATACATAGCATAGGCTTATTACAAGTAATTATTTACATATATTAGTCATCCATTAATGTACATGATCAACAATACCGACATTCAAGGGAGATAACTCCTTGACTTTCATTTGACTATAATATATACACAATATATATACATAATATAAATGCATAACGTTTACACATTCTGCATAAACATATACAATACTTTAAGACAGAAATTAATGATATGATCTTACATTAAATGTGGTCTTCACAATTAGATTACATTGTAAGTCTTAGACAAATATAAATAACACAATGCATACTCTGTGGGTGATACAAGGGTGTGGGTCCCAACTGCCACACGTATGGCAACACCATAGATTATCTGAATAAACAATACATAGACTAAAACACTATTTAACATTAAATATATTGAACAAAGTAATACACACATTTTATTTACAATGATTTGCATTGTATCACATCTGAATCTCTACATTACAAAGCTTATTAAAACACTCTTGAGGTAAAACACTTTCACACATATTTTATTGAAGTGATAGAATACATTTTAGTGATAAAGTATGGGTGTTTAGCTTATCCTATGCAGATTTAAATATTTAGACATAATCAACATTTATGTTAGATTACATACATTTAGTTTACTTCATATAACACTTTAAACATACTGTATTATTTAAATACAACATAGGATAGAGATTATAACCATTTAACTCACCTGATTTAATATTGTCTCTTTACACTTTGCTGGTCTGAGCAGTTCTGTCAGTTTATGTGCTGAGAGAGTATGCAGTGTAATCAAAGCATGCAGTTTAACAATAGGTGTTAGCTTGGCCAATCAGCAAATGAAGCTTCTGGCCATGGGGCAGTTAGTAGGTAAGACAGGTCAGATACACTTTGTTATAGCTGACTGAAACGGACAACTAGTTATATATGATAAATATACGTAAAAACCTAAAATGAAATTAAAACAAATATATACAAAAACTACATCGGCCACATAAAAAGTATCGCAGAGCCGTGAATGCTCTGGACGGAGTTGACACCGCGCTTTTAGTATCTGGCATGGGACTCGGTGTAGCCGGTGTCGGTTTACTATCAACTATAATCGCCGCGCCTATCGTGCTCGGTATGGAAATAGCCGCTGGAGTCTCGGGACTGGCAGGAATATCGATAAAATTTATTTCTCGTAGGTTACAAAAGAAAGCATTAAAACACGATAGTATTCGGATACTCGCCGAAGCAAAGTTGAACAGCACTGAGGATCATATTTCGACAGCAATGGTCGATTGTAAGATATCCGAGGATGAGTTTTCGTTTAGTGTTGTCGGAACTCACCAAATACAATGAAATGAAGCAGAAGATTCGATCAAAATCTCGTAAGACCAGTGGTATTAGTGAGGATGAGAAAAAAAAGTTCATAGCACTGGGGAGGCAACAAGCGCGTCAATTATTCCGTGCCAAAACCAAAGAACTGGTTGGAGATTAAAAATAGATTGTTTACTATCGTTTGATCACATTTAGACAAACGCTTACATACATATATATGATAATGGAGATCGAAAAAGGTATTAAATGGAGAGAATTACCACAAGGTTTTTATTATATCAGTGATGTCAGACCAACCAAATACGGTTATCAATTGTTTCTTATCAATTTACAAGAAGAGTGTAGTTATATAGTCTGGTCTCCTAGTAAAATGAACGAAGAACTTAATAAAAATGTTGAATATCGCTTTATCGATAAAAATAATGAAGAATATTTTTATTACCATTTAGGCTCATCTAAAGCAATGATTGGCCCCAGGTATTGGTGAGCTAGAGCCAATTTAACTTAATCTTATGACTATCATTGAATCGCATCATCATTTTGGCATAAAAAATGCCACCTGTAGTAGCAGTATAGGTATATGAATCTGGCTCCAGTGGAGTTGCGGCAGAACCCCCATTACCTATACTACTCAATGTGTAAAAGACAATTTATTAAATGCCTAAATATTCAGTATTTTACAAATTGACTGAAATATCTATCCATTTATTTTATTATGATGACAAATTCCAAACATTTTGATCTTTAATTTCATGACCAAGTGACTGAAAATGACCGGATTTAAAGTACATTTCTATAATTTTATCTAATCCTGACTCATACTTATTGCTTTTCACTTCTCATTTCTGATAGTGGAAACTTCCTGAACTGTGGTATTGAAAATGACATTGGCGTGATAGTTCATGTTTTTAAACATTCAATCATATTGTTGAAGTGAGAACTTTCCCGCCTTTGTACAAGGAAGAGCTGTATGAATTTTCCTTTTTACGGAAACAACTCTTAATATATAGTTGACAGAGAAAACGACTTCTGTTGAAAATCTAAAAGTTTAGCTATAGTGTTATTAAAACCCAAATACAGGATTATTGAAATTACGCAACAGAGGTAGTATTCTTAGAATTATGAACAATGATAACTATTGTTTTGATTTTGAAATCCCGGATTATAAAATGGTCAGCCTCTTGAGTGATGGATGACTTACCTTGAGTGGCTGGAATTTGACCCTTTAATGGTATGTCGTTCTCAGATGATTCCTCTGTATCATCTGAAACCAAGATATTTTCAACTGTTAGTTGAAGTTGACGTGAAGCGTATGTTTTGTATGACATCGCAGCAAGAGCATAAAGGACCAGTTACAAAAAAAACATCCATGAAAATATTAATCGAAAATCGTTGATATATAGAGGTTATCACGCGAGTGTGTTTGGGGATGGTAAATATCCTGCATTAGGAATAAACATTGTATTTGGAATAAACATTGTATTTAGCGAGCCTTGAATGAATAAACATTGTATTTGGAATAAACATTGTATTTAGCGAGCCTTGGCGAGCTAAATACATAGTGTTTATTCCTAATACAGGATATTTACCATCCCCAAACACACAAGCGTGATAACCTCTTTATCATATAATATCATTCTTTAATTCTGTGCTTCAAAATCGCTTTCCCTCTCACAAACATTACCGAAACATTGTGAGTTTTCCTGGGATGCGCGCATTAATATTTATTACATCACCATGTAAGTGATGTGTCAGTCGGACAGTGACAGTAGCCAATATAGTTCCAACTGAAATCTCTTTCTTATACAGTGGCGAAGCAACATATACGCAAAACAACAATTGTTTTAAATTGCCTTTCACGGCAATCCATCGGTCTGTCTGCTAGAGTAAACTGCCCTTTGTCAAAGGGAAGATACTCTAACCCTAGTCCATGAGACGTCATGGCCACGATCAGACGTTGTTGACAGTCGGTCTGTCCTGTCATAACGTTAAGAAGTGTAGTCAGATGTACACACAGCGACAAAACGAAACAAGGTAACAATTCAAACATATTTCGGCCAAATCCAACTATTTTAATTTGTGGAGCAAGCCGCAGAGGTCTACAAGCACAGATATGGCTACTGATCCCGCTTGTCTAGGCCTCGTGCCCTCGCAAAATTGTGTCAAAATTTTTATCTCCAAGTTACCAAAAAATGCCTTAGCTACATCACAGTAAGACACGGATTTTCAGTATATTAGACTGTTCTTTTGATATGAAAGTAATTATCTCTGTAGTTTATCCAGTTTCCTGATGGTTAAATCTGACTCGATCGCCGAATGACCAGGGCGACGCCATGTTTGTTTATAAGCAGTGAAAGTAGTCTCTTTCCGCATATGACCCCAATGGATATCGTTTTTATCCGTTGGCTTTATCCTGCCGAGAAACCTACCCATTATATGATAAAAAAAGATATTTTCAACTGTTAGTTATTTGAAAAGCATATTGTTGATTTGCATGCCATTTTCTGAATGATTATGTTCAAAGTAGTCAGGGGTGGGGAGAATTTTGTGTCTCCATTCATGATCAGAATACAGTATCTCTGTATTGGTGTCGTTAAACTTCCTAGTACTTGATTTCACATTGTGTCCTCAGGTTAGAAATACATATTGAATGTTCAGTGAAAGGAAAATACAGTATCTTCCTGGATGAAACTGTTTTAGACGGGGACAGACAATGTCTACCTACCTTCACGGTACGCCATCTTGCTCTGTATAAGGTGACACGTGGCAGCCCGACTTTATGCCCAACCAGTCAGGATGACTTCACATGTTCTAGAAACCACTTGATTTCACAATGTGTCGTCATGTCAGAAAGCCATATTGAATGTTCAGTGTAAGGAAAATACAGTATCTCCTATGTGATTATTTCTGGATGAGACTGTTTTAATGTTCTTTTTCTCCAAATATTATTTTTTTTACCCATTGAGAATATACTCACACATGTTTTTAATCACTTTGGGTATTAATTCATTGGGTATAAACATTTTCAAAAATGCCGGAGTTGAATAACATCTCGCAAATCTCGTAACATTGCATGACTAGGGCTCAGTGATTTGAATGTGACCCATTTTCGCATTACCCCTGTTCACTCAAGTGGAGTTTATGTATAAGTGCAGCTCACATGCAATCAGTAAATATAGACCAGGAAGGATATTTGTATATGAAGGCTGAGAAGGTAATTACATCTCTACATGTTACTAGTTGTCGCAGTGTGCATAGATCCGAAAACCAGACCAGAAGCAACAGGTTGGACCGCCGCTTATATATTTTCAAAAGGAGAGTTATTGACCTTTGGAACAAAAAGAACTCCCAGTACGCATGGTATTAGAGTAGTTATATTATTGTTTTTTCTTCTCAATTTTGATAGGATTATGATGATTTATTTTACCCATTTTACTCAAATACGAAGCTTGTCTGGAGCTCTCGTGACCTCGTGATTAGTTTGCCCTTTGTTGAGGAGACAAACCTTCTTTGTTTTGAAGTTTGATTTAGTCACACTGTAGAGTAGACACCTCTTATTTTAGTTTGGAACCCAGTGCTTTGGCTTTTTTTGTGGGCTTATAAGGTGTTTCCGTAGCAAAAAGAACACCTCTTTTTAAGCAATCAGAGTCAAGCATTCTTCAATGTCCCGGTAGAAATAGTACACTCAACACAACTATTGAAGGGTCACCCAGTTAAGGACGATACAATTGAAGGTCTCCTATTTAAACTATATAACTAGACTAACAATCAGTCTAAAGCGCCAGTTGTTAAAGACCCCACTAATGTGAATATTTGTAGCTGTATTAATGAAAATATTTAACCAGGGTAATAAATGCAGCAGCAGGTACACACTGACCACTTTTGTCTCAAGTTTAAGCATTGTATTCATGGTCACAAGATCGTATCACCCGAATACATGTTGTCGGCTAAGGCGCCGATATTACCTGTGCAGGTTGCGTCCCTTGGGCATGCCAGAAACCTATGATTGTGGGTTCGAATCCCGGTTCACCCCGATTATGTTTCTAGGTTTGTCAGCACCATACCCATGCTCGTGGGTTTCACCGAAGTGGTAAACGTCTGAGACCTGCATCACTTGGGGCTTTCCTCCCACATCAAGCTGACATGCCGTGATATAACTGGAATACTGTTAAAAGCGGCGTTAAACCCAACTCACTCACTCATGACACTTTTCACTCGGTTTTTCAAAGATTGTCAAACGGTCTGGATCATATCTCTAAAATTAATAGGTACTCTTCCTTGAAACTGTGAACACACAAAGACCAGGTTGTCAACTGGTGCCTTTTGCTATTCAGGGATTTTTAGAAAAAAAAAAAAAAAAATTCCCATGGCAACAAGTTTGATTTGACCATAGTGGTGTGTACCTGACATAGAAAATCAAAGTTCCGAATCCCAATTCCAGGGTATTGTTTTGATAGCACAATAACTACTCTTGTATATAGACAGACAGATCAGGTAAGTAACACTCAAATGATTTGTTCTTTCAAATTTATGGGGCCCAGGGGGATTTGTCATCTTCTGCTGACTCTTGTTTTTTAAAGACAGGATGGCCAAATACCTGGCACACTAACGATTTACAGATGACAGTCTCAATTGTGGTGCAATGGATGAAAATACTTACGTTTTCACTACTTATTTTCATTACTAATTTTCACTACTAATTAGTGGTATAACAGTTTTTAAAGAAAACACTGAAGGTAGGAATCGATATTTTTTACTTAGTGTGCGACTCTATGATCGATACTTGCATCGACAAGTCTGTCTGTCTGTCTGTTTGTTGTTTAAGATCCGGGGTAGAATCGGTCTTCAGCAACCCATGCTTGCTGTAAAAGGCGACTATGCTTGTCATAAAAGGTGACTATCGGGATCGAGTGGTCAGGCTCACTGACTTGGTTGATTCATGTCACAGATCCTAATTGAATGAATTGATGCCCATGATGTCAATCACTGTATTGTTTGGTCCAGACTCGATTATGTACAGACAGCCATCATATAGCTGTAATATTGCTGAGAGCGGCGTTAAACAACAAACAAACCAACCAACCATCCAACCAACCAACCATTGACGGCGACTATGCTTTTCGGAAGAGTTGACTAACGAGATCAGGATGTCAGGGAAGCTGATTCATGTCATCGATCCCAATTGCGTGAATCGATGCTCATGATGTCAATCACTGGATTGTCTTGTCCAGACTCAACTATTTACAGACCGCAGTCATATAGCTGTAATATTGCTGAGTGCAGCGTTAAACAAACACACACACAAGCAAATCTTACTCTGTGAGTGGTCAAAAGTTTCCCCGAGAGCCTGACTAACCTCCTGCCAGACTGGGAAGGGAGGGAGTTTTGTTTCAGGGGGCAGGGGTGGCCCAGTCGTCTAAGTCGCCGCGATTCGCTGTGCAGAGTTGTGTCTCTTGGGCACACCAGAAACCTATGATTGTGAGTTTGAATCCCAGTTAGCCCTGATTATGTTTCTAGATTTGTCACACAATACCATGCTTGTGGGTTTCACCAAAGTGATAAAGTGAAAAGTCTGAGACCTGCATCACTTTGGTCGGTTACAAGTCTGTAGAAGTAAATGAACTGGTTTTACTTGCTATCTTTATGATCAAGTGATGGGATTCTAACCACAGACCTTCTGATCCGAGGTCGGACACCTTGTCCACCAAAGAGATTAACTCTGCTTGCAAGCTAGGTAAAGATGTCATCTGTGGGATATGGACACCAAGGCCTTGTATGATACATGAGTCATAACATTTATATTTTTTAATATGATCTAAGACCGCCGCCGTGGTCTAGTGGTAGAGCGTCCGCCCGGAGAGCGGCAGGTCCGGGGTTCGATCCCCGGCCGCGTCATACAATTAGACGTTAAAAGATGGTTCTTGTTGTTACCCTGTCTGGCGCTCGGCATTAAGGGGCTAAAATAAGGACTGGTTGGCTCGGAGTCAGTATACTGTGTCTGAGTGGTGTATACATGTTAAACTGCGGCATGGTATCTCAGTGAGCTAGCACTATAAATCGACATCAGTCCGGACTAGTACAAGCAGCCACACACACACACACACACACACACACGTACATGCACATCGCTATATAAGTGCAATAATCTTGGACGCGACGTTAAACCCCATTTCACCTCACCTAATATAATCTAATGATATAGTTATAATCAATTAAAAGTAACCAAACCTTTCTAAACTAGCCACATAAAGAAACTGTGCACGGAGCAAATATATTCTGGATTGAAATACAACACAGCAAGAACAAAATGATGCAGACGCTGTAGCAGCTGAATGATCGGACCATAAGAAAATGTCAACGGGACCTGAACAACATCTGTTACGATGACGTCAGAAGATCAAAATGGAGTAGGGGGTCAAACGACAAAGTCACAAAGTCAATAACGGGTATGACCACCCTGTGTGTGAATCACAGCAGTGCATCGGCGACGCATGGAGTCCACCAAATTGGCATGGAAGGCCTGGGGAATGGCCTGCCATATCCCACTTCAAATCCTGTGCCAAGTCACGGACGTTATCTGGAGGATGTGGAAGACGACGCAGACGGTGCTCCATTTCATCCCACACATGCTCTATTGGGGAGAGATCTGGAGAATTTGCAGGCCATGGCAGTAACATGACATTGTTATGGTGAAGGAAATCCATTGCGACCCTAGCCGTGTGAGGACGAGCGTTGTCCTGTTGAAATGTCAATCCCGGGCCATGACGTTGCCCTGAACAACCACCAAAGGGGTTCGATGCCGTGCTGTTATCCCACCCCAAATCATCACAGAGCCACCTCCAAAACGATTCCTCTCCACAATACAGTTGCGTGTATAACGTTCTCCCAAACGCCTGTAGACACGTTGGCGCCTGTCACTGTGGGAAATGTTGAACCTCGATTCATCTGTAAAGACAACATTTCTCCACCATATTCGAGGTTGGCGAACATGATTTCGACACCATCTTGACGCAATGACTGTATGTCAGGATGGGACGTATGGCAGGGCGTCGTGGTCGAATCCCATACTGACGTAAACGATTCCTGACAGTGTTGGGATGGATACGGCGCAGTCCAGGAATTGTCTGGGACGTCGTTACTGCCGTTTGGAACTTGTGTCGGAGATGTGTAACGCGAATCCATCTGTCCTGTCTTGGCGTCGTTACTCGGGGACGTCCTGAATGTGGGTGGTCTGCAACGTCATTTGTGTTCTGATAACGCCTCACCAATGCTGATATCGTGTTACGATGGCATTGGAAATGTGTTGCCACCTGTTGTTGCCTCATTCCCGCTCGGATCATTCCAATGGCTTCATGAAGCTGTGCAGCTGTCAATCTTGGCATGATTTGCTTGTGATATGCTTGTGTCTGCGCCTGAGAAGTTTTGAATTTTTGAATGACCACAGATCATGCTTTCCAAAGTGACAGCGAATTTTGAGTTGCACATGCTGTGTACAGCTGCACAGGATGCACGTGCAGTAACACATTGCACGTCCATAGGCCCCCATCAATGACAGTCATATCGCATGGCACGTGCATGAGCGTTTGAATGTCTCCAATAATTGCTGTGTTCAAACCTATATTTCATATGTGGACGGTGTGCCCTTATATCTATATTTTTTTCCGTGCACAGTTTCTTTATGTGGCTAGTATATATATTCATTTAAAACCTCTGCCAAAAGCAGAGTTACCCCGGTAATTGTTCTCTGACTATATCATAAGCATGTGTATTTAAATCACTATGAAATAGTGATGACATCAGGTGTTTGCAAGAACTGTCCTGTCTCATGATGGCACCCATCACAAACACACGCAAAGGCAGGTCAACTCTTCACCTGAAAAACATATGGTACAAGTCAAAATAGGGAATTGTGTCAGATATCACTTTTGTTACATATACAACAAATTTGGAATTTCCTCCACATGTCTACCATAAAGCAAATTATTCTGGTTATTGTTAGTAACATAATTTCCTTAAATTAAGAAATGATAATCCAGTTGACTTAAAATAAACAAAATAGCAATATTTGTTTGTTTGTTATTTATAGCCACACTCAGTAATACTCCAGCTGTGTGATGGCAGTCTGTAAATAATTGAGTCTGGACCAGACAATACAGTGATTTTATTAACTGCATCTATGCTGTCAAGTATTGACACACTCATCAATGGTCAAGTATCAATACTTGGCTTAAAGTGAGTGTGTGAGTGAGTGAGTTGGGTTTTACGCTGGTTTTAACAGTATTCCAGTTATAGCACGGCGTGTGAGCTTAATGTGCGAGGAAACCCCGAAGTGATGCAGGTCTCTGACTCTTACCACTTTGGTGAAACCGACGAGCACGGGTATGGTGCTGACAAATCTAGAAACATAATTGGGGCGAACCGGGATTCGAACCCACAATCATAGGTTTCTGGCGTGCCCAACGGACGCAACTCTGCACAACAAATCGCAGCGCCGTAGACGACTGGGCCACCCGTGCCCCGTAAATAATTGAGTCTGGACCAGACAAAACCGTGATTTTATCCACGCTGTCGGAATAATGACACACACTCATCAATGGTCAAGTATCTGGAAGAACTTCAGTTTCCATCAAATTACTGTTAAATGATGTCAGGCAATGGTGAATTAGGACCCCAGTCATGCAGAGTTGCCTCCCTTAGGTGTGCCAGAATGATATTCTTTTTAAATCCCAGATTCACCTGATTATGTTTCACTTCAGTCCAGACCCTGGAGAATAAATTGAAAAAGGAGTCCAACTCAAGTCTAGAATGACTTTGCAAGTCTAGATTTCCGCAGCTTGAAATTGAGCCTTGTTCGGGGCTTCATTTGGATGAGAGTTGACTGAACCTCTATGTTATGTGTTTCAGCCAGGATGAGGCCCAGAAGATCGACCAGGAGCTGTTTGAGGACTACTCCTTCAGCGTGGAACAGCTGATGGAGCTGGCCGGGTACAGCTGCGCCGTCGCCATCGCCAGGGTCAGTCAGGCATCAGTCACGAGTCACCAGTTTTTGTTGTTGAAAAAAACATAGCCATGGAAAACTGCAAAATGATTTATGTTATTGTTTTGTTACTTCAAAAAAACACAAGGTGAAAAACTTTCCAACTTGTCTCAAATGGGTGAGGAGAATTTATAAATATGTGACCTTGAAAACTGGAAAATGATAATTTTAAAACTTGTTAGCTCACCTGAATGAAAGACAAGTGACCTCATGTCTTAGCCTGGTGGTTGGAAGCCCTTGAGGTTATCTGTAAACATATTCTCAAACACCACAGAACAGGTGCTTGTCCAAAACATGACAGCACAATTTGGTCTCGAGGTTTTAGGACAACAGTATGTTGTATATATCTACAGAGTGTGTCTTGTTGCAGTGTTTCCCAATAGACAACATGTCCAAGGACAACGGTGCAGTGCTGGTGTGTTGTATATATCTACAGAGTGTGTCTTGTTGCAGTGTTTCCCAATAGACAACATGTCCAAGGACAACGGTGCAGTGCTGGTGTGTTGTATATATCTACAGAGTGTGTCTTGTTGCAGTGTTTCCCAATAGACAACATGTCCAAGGACAACGGTGCAGTGCTGGTGTGTTGTATATATCTACAGAGTGTGTCTTGTTGCAGTGTATCTACAGAGTGTCTTGTTGTGTATATCTACAGAGTGTGTCTTGTTGCAGTGTTTCCCAATAGACAACATGTCCAAGGACAACGGTGCAGTGCTGGTGTGTTGTATATATATCTACAGAGTGTGTCTTGTTGCAGTGTTTCCCAATAGACAACATGTCCAAGGACAACGGTGCAGTGCTGGTATGTTGTATATATATCTACAGAGTGTGTCTTGTTGCAGTGTTTCCCAATAGACAACATGTCCAAGGACAACGGTGCAGTGCTGGTGTGTTGTATATATATCTACAGAGTGTGTCTTGTTGCAGTGTTTCCCAATAGACAACATGTCCAAGGACAACGGTGCAGTGCTGGTGTGTTGTATATATCTACAGAGTGTGTCTTGTTGCAGTGTTTCCCAATAGACAACATGTCCAAGGACAACGGTGCAGTGCTGGTGTGTTGTATATATCTACAGAGTGTGTCTTGTTGCAGTGTTTCCCAATAGACAACATGTCCAAGGACAACGGTGCAGTGCTGGTGTGTTGTATATATCTACAGAGTGTGTCTTGTTGCAGTGTTTCCCAATAGACAACATGTCCAAGGACAACGGTGCAGTGCTGGTGTGTTGTGTATATCTACAGAGTGTGTCTTGTTGCAGTGTTTCCCAATAGACAACATGTCCAAGGACAACGGTGCAGTGCTGGTGTGTTGTATATATCTACAGAGTGTGTCTTGTTGCAGTGTTTCCCAATAGACAACATGTCCAAGGACAACGGTGCAGTGCTGGTGTGTTGTATATATCTACAGAGAGTGTCTTGTTGCAGTGTTTCCCAATAGACAACATGTCCAAGGACAACGGTGCAGTGCTGGTGTGTTGTATATATCTACAGAGTGTGTCTTGTTGCAGTGTTTCCCAATAGACAACATGTCCAAGGACAACGGTGCAGTGCTGGTGTGTTGTGGGCCTGGCAACAATGGTGGGGACGGCCTTGTCTGTGCCAGACATCTCAAACTATTTGTGAGTCACAATTCAAACCTTTTTTAGTGCACCTGTTAAATGGATAGTCTCAATGTGCATCTGTTAAATGGATAGTCTCAATGTGCACCTGTCAAATGGATAGTCTCAATGTGCACCTGTTAAATTGAAAGTCTCAATGTGCACCTGTTAAATGGATAGTCTCAATGTGCATCTGTTAAATTGAAAGTCTCAATGTGCACCTGTTAAATGGATAGTCTCAATGTGCATCTGTTAAATTGAAAGTCTCAATGTGCACCTGTTAGATGGAAAGTCTCTATCTGCACCTGTTAGATGGATAGTCTCAATGTGCACCTGTTAGATGGATAGTCTCAATGTGCACCTGTTAAATGGATAGTCTCAATGTGAACCTGTTAAATAGATGGTCTCAATGTGCACCTGTTAGATGGAAAGTCTCTATCTGCACCTGTTAGATGGATAGTCTCAATGTGCACCTGTTAGATGGATAGTCTCAATGTGCACCTGTTAAATGGATAGACTCAATGTGCACCTGTTAAATTGAAAGTCTCAATGTGCACCTGTTAAATGGATAGTCTCAATGTGGACCTGTTAAATGGATAGTCTCAATGTGCACCTGTTAAATGGATAGTCTCAATGTGCATCTGTTAAATTGAAAGTCTCAATGTGCACCTGTTAAATGGATAGTCTCAATGTGCATCTGTTAAATTGAAAGTCTCAATGTGCACCTGTTAAATGGATAGTCTCAATGTGCACCTGTTAAAAGGATAGTCTCAATTTGTGCCTGTTAAATGGATAGTCTCAATGTGCACCTGTTAAATGGAAAGTCTCTATCTGCACCTGTTAAATGGATAGTCTCAATGTGCACCTGTTAAATTGAAAGTCTCAATGTGCACCTGTTAAATGGATAGTCTCAATGTGCATCTGTTAAATTGAAATACTCAATGTGCACCTGTTAAATGGATAGTCTCAATGTGCACCTGTTAAATGGATAGTCTCAATGTGCACCTGTTAAATGTATTGTCTCTTTGGACCCCCCCCCCCCCCCCCCCCCCCCCCCCCGCCGTCTTGAGCTCAGTTCACTTTTTCCCTTTACTTGTACTTTCTGGTTTTTCACCAAAAAACTATTACTTTCACAGACAATTACTGGTTGTATTTACTAGCCCAGCATTAATATTGTTGAAAAAACTACACAATTCAAGAAAGCGTAACACAACTGGGTTTTCTCATAACATTACACCCCTGTGGAGATCCAGGTTAGATTATGTCTTCAGCAACCCATGCTTGTTGTAACTAACGGGATCGGGTTGTCAGACTAGCTGATTTAGGTGACGCATGTCATCGTATCCCATTTGCACAGATCGATGCTCATGATGTCAATCACAAGATTGTCTGGTCCAGACTGGATTATTTAATGTCATAGCCTATATATTGTCGACTGCAACGTTAACCAGCAAGCAAATTAATTTTAATCAACACTCAATATCACCCTCTCACCAACTCCATACTCTGACTTGCAGGGCTTCAAGCCTTCCATCTTCTACCCGAAGCAGCCCAACAAGCCCCTGTTTGAGAGCCTGCGCCGCCAGTGTGAGGGGATGGACATGCCCTTCTTGTCCTTCTTCCCCTCCGACCCCCAGCTCATCAAAGACTCCTATAACCTCATCGTAGATGCGCTGTTCGGATTCAGCTTCAAGGGACCTGCCCGCCCTGAGTTTGCCTCCATCTTGGAGAAGCTGAAGAAGATACAAGACGATGTCCACATCTGCAGCATTGATGTCCCTTCAGGTAAATAGTAGGGCTGGGACAATACACTAATTGATGTACCTTCAGGTAAATAGTAGTGCTGGGACAGTACACTAATTGATGTCCCTTCAGGTAAATAGTAGGGCTGGGACGGTACACTGATTGATGTCCCTTCAGGTAAATAGTACGGCTGGGACGATACACCAACTGTGAGATCCAATACATATCACGATACACTAACTGATGTACCTTGATGGAGTTCCTGGTTTAGAGCTGGTCCAAGTATTGATGTACCTTCAGGTAACATAGTGTGGAGAGTCTAGGTTAGAGCTGGTCCAAGTATTGATGTACCTTCAGCTAACATAGTCTGTGGAGAGTCTGGGTTATAGCTGGTCCAAGTATTGATGTACCTTCAGGTAACATAGTCTGTGGAGAGTCTGTGTTAGAGCTGGTCCAAGTATTGATGTACCTTCAGGTAACATAGTCTGTTGGGTGTCTGGGTTAGAGCTGGTCCAAGTATTGATGTACCTTCAGGTAACATAGTCTGTGGAGATTCTGGGTTAGAGCTGGTCCAAGTATTGATGTACCTTCAGGTAACATAGTGTGGAGAGTCTGGGTTAGAGCTGGTCCAAGTATTGATGTACCTTCAGCTAACATAGTCTGTGGAGAGTCTGGGTTATAGCTGGTCCAAGTATTGATGTACCTTCAGGTAACATAGTCTGTGGAGAGTCTGTGTTAGAGCTGGTCCAAGTATTGATGTACCTTCAGGTAACATAGTCTGTTGGGTGTCTGGGTTAGAGCTGGTCCAAGTATTGATGTACCTTCAGGTAACATAGTCTGTGGAGATTCTGGGTTAGAGCTGGTCCAAGTATTGATGTACCTTCAGGTAACATAGTCTGTGGAGAGTCTGGGTTAGAGCTGGTCCAAGTATTGATGTACCTTCAGGTAACATAGTCTGTGGAGAGTCTGGGTTAGAGCCGGTCCAAGTATTGATGTACCTTCAGGTAACATAGTCTGTGGCGAGTCTGGGTTAGAGCTGGTCCAAGTATTGATGTACCTTCAGGTAACATAGTCTGTGGAGAATCTGGTTTAGAGCTGGTCCAAGTATTGATGTACCTTCAGGTAACATAGTCTGTGGAGAGTCTGGGTCAGAGCTGGTCCAAGTATTGATGTACCTTCAGATAACATAGTCTGTGGAGAGTCTGGGTTAGAGCTGGTCCAAGTATTGATGTACCTTCAGGTAACATAGTCTGTGGAGAGTCTGGGTTAGAGCTGGTCCAAGTATTGATGTACCTTCAGGTAACATAGTCTGTGGAGAGTCTGGGTTAGAGCTGGTCCAAGTATTGATGTACCTTCAGCTAACATGGTCTGTGGAGAGTCTGTGTTAGAGCTGGTCCAAGTATTGATGTACCTTCAGGTAACATAGTCTGTGGAGAGTCTGGGTTAGAGTTGGTCCAAGTATTGATGTACCTTCAGGTAACATAGTCTGTGAAGAGTCTGGGTTAGAGCTGGTCCAAGTATTGATGTACCTTCAGGTAACATAGTCTGTGGAGAGTCTGGGTTAGAGCTGGTCCAAGTATTGATGTACCTTCAGGTAACATGGTCTGTGGAGAGTCTGGGTTAGAGCTGGTCCAAGTATTGATGTACCTTCAGGTAACATAGTCTGTGGAGAGTCTGGGTTAGAACTGGTCCAAGTATTGATGTACCTTCAGGTAACATAGTGTGGAGAGTCTGGGTAAGAGCTGGTCCAAGTATTGATGTACCTTCAGGTAACATAGTCTGTGGAGAGTCTGTGTTAGAGCTGGTCCAAGTATTGATGAACCTTCAGGTAACATAGTCTGTGGAGAGTCTAGGTTAGAGCTGGTCCAAGTATTGATTTACCTTCAGGTAACATAGTCTGTGGAGAGTCGGGGTTAGAGCTGGTCCAAGTATTGATGTACCTTCAGTTAACATAGTCTGTGGAGAGTCAGGGTTAGAGCTGGTCCAAGTATTGATGTACCTTCAGGTAACATAGTCTGTTGGGTGTCTGGGTTAGAGCTGGTCCAAGTATTGATGTACCTTCAGGTAACATAGTCTGTGGAGAGTCTGGGTTAGAGCTGGTCCAAGTATTGATGTACCTTCAGCTAACATAGTCTGTGGGCAGTCTGGGTAAGAGCTGGTCCAAGTATTGATGTACCTTCAGCTAACATAGTCTGTGGGAAGTCTGGGTTAGAGCTGGTCCAAGTATTGATGTACCTTCCGGTAACATAGTCTGTAGAGAGTCTGGGTTAGAGCTGGTCCAAGTATTGATGTACCTTCAGGTAACATAGTCTGTGGAGAGTCTGGGTTAGAGCTGGTCCAAGTATTGATGTACCTTTAGGTAACATAGTCTGTGGAGAGTCTGTGTTAGAGCTGGTCCAAGTATTGATGTACCTCCAGGTAACATAGTCTGTGGAGAGTCTGTGTTAGAGCTGGTCCAAGTATTGATGTACCTTCAGGTAACATAGTCTGTGGAGAGTCTGGGTTAGAGCTGGTCCAAGTATTGATGTACCTTTAGGTAACACAGTCTGTGGAGAGTCTGTGTTAGAGCTGGTCCAAGTATTGATGTACCTCCAGGTAACATAGTCTGTGGAGAGTCTGGGTTAGAGCTGGTCCAAGTATTGATGTACCTTCAGGTAACATAGTCTGTGGAGAGTCTGGTTTAGAGCTGGTCCAAGTATTGATGTACCTTCAGATAACATAGTCTGTGGGAAGTCTGGGTTAGAGCCGGTCCAAGTATTGATGTACCTTCAGGTAACATAGTCTGTGGCGAGTCTGGGTTAGAGCTGGTCCAAGTATTGATGTACCTTCAGGTAACATAGTCTGTGGAGAGTCTGGGTCAGAGCTGGTCCAAGTATTGATGTACCTTCAGATAACATAGTCTGTGGAGAGTCTGGGTCAGAGCTGGTCCAAGTATTGATGTACCTTCAGGTAACATAGTCTGTGGAGAGTCTGGGTTAGAGCTGGTCCAAGTATTGATGTACCCTCAGGTAACATAGTGTGGAGAGTCTGGGTTAGAGCTGGTCCAAGTATTGATGTACCTTCAGCTAACATAGTCTGTGGAGAGTCTGGGTTATAGCTGGTCCAAGTATTGATGTACCTTCAGGTAACATAGTCTGTGGAGAGTCTGTGTTAGAGCTGGTCCAAGTATTGATGTACCTTCAGGTAACATAGTCTGTTGGGTGTCTGGGTTAGAGCTGGTCCAAGTATTGATGTACCTTCAGGTAACATAGTCTGTGGAGATTCTGGGTTAGAGCTGGTCCAAGTATTGATGTACCTTCAGGTAACATAGTCTGTGGAGAGTCTGGGTTAGAGCCTGTCCAAGTATTGATGTACCTTCAGGTAACATAGTCTGTGGAGAGTCTGGGTTAGAGCTGGTCCAAGTATTGATGTACCTTCAGTTAACATAGTCTGTGGAGAGTCTGGGTTAGAGCTGGTCCAAGTATTGATGTACCTTCAGGTAACATAGTCTGTTGGGTGTCTGGGTTAGAGCTGGTCCAAGTATTGATGTACCTTCAGGTAACATAGTCTGTGGAGAGTCTGGGTTAGAGCTGGTCCAAGTATTGATGTACCTTCAGCTAACATAGTCTGTGGGCAGTCTGGGTAAGAGCTGGTCCAAGTATTTATGTACCTTCAGCTAACATAGTCTGTGGGAAGTCTGGGTTAGAGCTGGTCCAAGTATTGATGTACCTTCCGGTAACATAGTCTGTAGAGAGTCTGGGTTAGAGCTGGTCCAAGTATTGATGTACCTTCAGGTAACATAGTCTGTGGAGAGTCTGGGTTAGAGCTGGTCCAAGTATTGATGTACCTTTAGGTAACATAGTCTGTGGAGAGTCTGTGTTAGAGCTGGTCCAAGTATTGATGTACCTCCAGGTAACATAGTCTGTGGAGAGTCTGGGTTAGAGCTGGTCCAAGTATTGATGTACCTTCAGGTAACATAGTCTGTGGAGAGTCTGGGTTAGAGCTGGTCCAAGTATTGATGTACCTTTAGGAAACACAGTCTGTGGAGAGTCTGTGTTAGAGCTGGTCCAAGTATTGATGTACCTCCAGGTAACATAGTCTGTGGAGAGTCTGGGTTAGAGCTGGTCCAAGTATTGATGTACCTTCAGGTAACATAGTCTGTGGAGATTCTGGGTTAGAGCTGGTCCAAGTATTTATGTACCTTCAGGTAACATAGTCTGTGGAGAGTCTGGGTTAGAGCCTGTCCAAGTATTGATGTACCTTCAGGTAACATAGTCTGTGGAGAGTCTGGGTTAGAGCTGGTCCAAGTATTGATGTACCTTCAGGTAACATAGTCTGTGGAGAGTCTGGGTTAGAGCTGGTCCAAGTATTGATGTACCTTCAGCTAACATGGTCTGTGGAGAGTCTGTGTTAGAGCTGGTCCAAGTATTGATGTACCTTCAGGTAACATAGTCTGTGGAGAGTCTGGGTTAGAGTTGGTCCAAGTATTGATGTACCTTCAGGTAACATAGTCTGTGAAGAGTCTGGGTTAGAGCTGGTCCAAGTATTGATGTACCTTCAGGTAACATAGTCTGTGGAGAGTCTGGGTTAGAGCTGGTCCAAGTATTGATGTACCTTCAGGTAACATGGTCTGTGGAGAGTCTGGGTTAGAGCTGGTCCAAGTATTGATGTACCTTCAGGTAACATAGTCTGTGGAGAGTCTGGGTTAGAACTGGTCCAAGTATTGATGTACCTTCAGGTAACATAGTGTGGAGAGTCTGGGTAAGAGCTGGTCCAAGTATTGATGTACCTTCAGGTAACATAGTCTGTGGAGAGTCTAGGTTAGAGCTGGTCCAAGTATTGATTTACCTTCAGGTAACATAGTCTGTGGGGAGTCGGGGTTAGAGCTGGTCCAAGTATTGATGTACCTTCAGGTAACATAGTCTGTGGAGAGTCTGGGTTAGAGCTGGTCCAAGTATTGATGTACCTTCAGGTAACATAGTCTGTGGAGAGTCTGGGTTAGAGCTGGTCCAAGTATTGATGTACCTTCAGGTAACATAGTCTGTGGAGAGTCTGGGTTAGAG